ATTCAGTGTTTCACCCCCCCCACCCCGCGTCCGCGTGCCCTTCCCCTTCCCCTAAAACGTGCCGTAACCGGTGTGTTTCCCTGGCTTTTTTGCACAGAGTGCTCAGAACAAGGTACTCCCCCTAGTTTCAACAAACTATCGTATGCCATGGTACCCCACGTAACTGTATCTCTTTCTGCGCATACAGGGCTCGTCCCATCCCGGCACGCGGCGCCGATGGGGAGAACAGGACAAGAACAACTGTGCAACTGTGTGCGTTCATGGGCTCCACATGGGTCCACGAGAGTTTAAGCTTAGCATAGCTCTGACGATTTGGCAATGCTTTGTGCCTCGTTTCTTTACACGATACCCTTGTGGGACCCGTCTGCGCTTTATGTCAAACTGTTTGATGTCAATTAACTGAGCTGTATATTCTAATGCAGGTGCCAGAGCAGAACATCAAAGCAACTGTGGGATATTTTGGTGAAGAGCCTCTTGGCCCATCTTGGTCCCCGGGTGGAGAGCTCAACTGAGCACCGAGCATCAAAGGAGTGTGGCCATCTTTGTTCTTTGGCATCGGGTTGGCCCGGGCTTCCAGGAGGCGCTTAACGACGGTCGCCGCCATATGCCCTGCAAACCTCGGAATTGTGCTGGCTTTCGGTGCCCTGACCACGAGCACCACATCGGGCTCTTAGATGTGGCTACCAGTTGGCCCACATCAGTCCGATGCAGAAGGTTGCAAATGGAGACTGGTAGTTCTGCGAACTCTGCCATATTGCATCAAGCGAAACAAGGCCGAGGGGCACTGCAAAGTGTAAGGCTGTGCAGAATGACACGTCCTCGGCACGCGCTGCAGTGCAGCTTACTTTGAGACTTCTGTTTCGAGGGCTCAACCGGAGGTTCAGGGTGTCGGCGGTGTGGGAAAGCCAAACACTGAGACGTGGCTTGCCCGAACTATTGGAAGGCATGTGTTCACGCCTGTATGCACAAGTCTTCCGGTCTGTGTTCACATCAACAAACAAAGTTGAAAGGTGCAGTAAGACTGACAGCTGGACATAGCAGTAGACAATGCCAATGAAACAACGGCGATCAGAACACATTTTCGTGATTGTGCTTGTTGCTTTAAGATGACGATGCCGAAAGTGATGGATTTTGATGATCACTTTCCGGATGAGCACGAGATTCGTGACATTACATCCAGCCCTGCTTGAGCTGAGCATCTGCACTGTTTATTGCCACAGGCCGGTTCTGCTCGGTGTGCGTGATGAGACGAAACGCCGCATCTTCACCTTATTGAGAATGCGACAGTCCCGAAAGCACACATGTATGTATTTAAGAACGTCGTGTGCAGATCTGATCTTGCGATGAGGTGCCGCGGATCTTGAGCGCAAGCATCAACGGAGTCAATCCATCTGGTCGGAAGCGCGAGACAGGACTCTGGATGCAGAACGCAACTCACACAAGGGCCATAATTGTAGCTACGTTCCGATTTAAGGGATCCGATTCACCGTCTTGCACCCCCAGCCAAATCTTCCTTCAACCACCCCGGACGACCATGCATGGGTCAGAAGATGCGAGGCAAGCGGCTGTTGTCTTGAGCAGTGGCATCAGCATGGGCATCCAGCAGCAGCCTCAGCAAACTACACACTGCGCAGAGTGCCATGAGAAATGGAGTGATGTGTCGGGTGTCGCGAGTAGCCAACTTGTCGAAAAGATGAGAACGGTGCTGCAGTTGCGCCGTGTTGTTGGCCACGGCGGCGATGTGCACTGCCGTCTGACCGTGGTCAGACCTGCCCAGATCCGACGATAAGGCAGACAAGAGGTAGGAGTATCCTTCGCGACAATGAAGTGTGGAAAGGACGACGAGAAACTGAAACTTTTCGAGACTCTGAACTTCGATTGGAGAGCTTGTGGCCTCCTGGAAAGCCAGTGATCTCCGCTGCAGACCAGGGTCAAGGGGAACCTGGCAGTGGGCAAGCGCACGTGGCTGGAGATTCGTGTTAATTGCCAGGCAAGGTGCCTGCTCTGTGGCATGGGTGAACGGTCTGGCGGCCAGCGCACCATCTGGTTCTGTGCGTCGAAAACGAAAACCCGCTGGTGCGTCTGGCTTTCCGACAGACCCCAGCTTTCGATCTGTTTCCGCACATCCTTCACCCAAGATGTATCTGATTTCGGAATAGTCTGGGTGACATCTGCGGCCGGACCAGCATCCGTCTCTGAATAGGCATCGAGAAGCTGTTTCAAGAATCTGGACGATGGCAGCGCCGCTGCCAAGTGCCTTAAGCTTAATCAACGCATGGGTGCAGGGGCAACGGATGTGCACTTTTCCATGGTGACTGTGCCAGCTGGGCGCCACCAACCTACAAACATACCCGCACACACGCAGATGCACCCAAACACTGAAACAAAGTAGCCCAGGGGAGATCTCGGGACACTCAACTTGTTTCTGACGAGCTACAAGGCCGTAGAGCCTGAGCTGAGAAACCAAAGCGGCTCTGCCTTGTCGATGCTTGGACAGCCATCTTCCTCTTCATCCGAATCGTACGACACGTCCGAAGAAGCCGCGGACTCTGATTCCCAGTCGGTCATCACGGGCCCCACTTCCAAAGGATCTGTATCGCCATCGTCCTGAGAATGGGCCAGCGAAGCGGCTCCCAAGTGGACCAACTGCAATTGACCACGCTGATCTTTCTCGACCCGGTAGACAGGATCGCTCATGAAGTCGCGCTGTCCAGCTTCTCGTGCCAGCATGAGGTCTCCTACCCGTGGTGCCATCCTGAGGTCAGAGACGGAGGGGGTTCCTATTATAGATGTTCAAAAAATATGAAAAAAAAACAGAGGCTTTTCCAGGCCAGGCCTGAGATCAGTCGACAGCCGAACATCCAGAGAGGAGGGGTCTTCTTCCAAGAGCCGGGCGATCACGGCGCTGCAGTCCTCCTGCTGTGCCGGAGCCGGTCGTTCGGAGAGATGAAAGCACTGATGGCATTGAAAGAAGTCGCCGGTGTCGCCTCGCATCATCACGCCCTCATCCTAATCAAAACCTGTGGTAGCTCGAGACGAGCCTCTACGCTATATGAGTCATATGAGTATACGGCAGCAAAATGTCCCAAACAGCCAAGATGCAGGCATACTCGGCAGGATGGCGCGGGCAGGTGCTGCAACCATTCTCGGTTTCGCTGACTGGATACAGCGCATTCGCATGTTTTTGAAGCTGCCGGCCAGTTGCGCAGTAGCTTTGCAAGGCACAAAGCAAGCTGGGCAAATGCAAGTGCTGAAACCAAGGTTCTCGTAAAGGGGCAGCCTGAGACCGAGCAATGTCGTCATAATGGGAATCACCAGAGGGGACGGAAATCACCGAAGCCGAGGACTTCGTTCGGCTTTTGTCCAGCCCTTCTTCCTGCCCTTCTTCCTGCTCTTTGAACGACTTGAGGAAAACCAAAGCTGCGTCCACCGCCCATGGCCGCGCTGCGAAGATTCCGACAGACAATGCCATTCTCGCAATCTTCTCGACCGAGGGTTTTGTGAGAAGGCTTGGCAAGTTGAAGCGCCCGACGAAGGTTATAGGCACGCTTGCGTGCCTGATGTTACAAGTCAATAGGACTGGGCTCAGGGAATTAGAGATGCTCTACTTCAGGAGACTCAGGGTGTCTTTACCTAGGCACGTCGATGAGTGATAATTGCACATGCTTCAAAGCAAGACACAGGTTCTCACGCATCTTCATTAGAAGCTCCAGCACGCAATTGCCATGGTTTGCCAGGGTGGCGAGAAACAAGCTTTCAATAAGTTGACCTCTGCTCCAGCACATTTTCTTGGACATCATCAGCCTGAATCCGCGCAATGAGGCATCATCTTCGTCGATGGCCGTTACGCCCGAATCTCGCCATGCACTCAGGCTCAAGCCGCAATAGCCGTTTGGTAGAGTGCCGACCCCGAGCCGACAGCCCTCGCAGAGGTTGCCACCGGATCTGCGGCAAGTCCAGCGCTGCACTTGCGATGTGTTGTCTATGCGCGAGTAAGTGCAAAGGCAATCGTCGCACATCCAGGACTGAACTTCCCCGCATGCACTTAACTTCTTCAAAGCTTCAACGGTCTTTGGTGGAGGACTTGGCTGTGACACCTCAAAGTGGTCGCCCTCTGTGTCCAATGTCGCCATGAGGTAAAGCGTCTCGGGCAAGTCACATACTGGGTCATGCAGGAGCTCACCGTTCAAGGAAAATAGAACAGCTCTCTTTGTCATGTCCACCAGCATTCCAATAGTGTTGGAGTGAGGCTGAAGTGGTGCCTTGATCTTGACTGTTTTACTTCCGAGCATGACTTCGTTTTTCTTGTACTGTGGCTTCAGTCGGACACACCACCTGTCAAACTGGCCGCCGCCGTAATCGTGGCTTCCGTCTTTGACTTGTACTGCTTCCGGTACGATGAGCCCCAAGTACAGGTTGCAAACGACCCTCCGTACCTTGAACTCGTAGTACTGCTGCCCATCCGTGACCGCCTGCCTGCCGTACACATTCACATAGTCTAAGCGGCCCCTCCTGGTGTGGTCTCCTTGCCCATCGAACAAAACACTGACGCCGTCGAAGAGCACCTGATCCTCATAGCCTACAGAATTCCAGTGTGAGAAATACGCCATTTCTTCACCCATGATCAGCAATGCATCCTTGGACTGAACTTTCACGATCATGCGCAAGGGGCCTTCCTTGCCTTGGGCCCAACGGTCCTGAGCCGCCTCCCAACTACTCCAGCGGAGCTCGACTGTGCTGCCAATCTGCACCTTGGCCTCGCAACTCCAAACTTCTTCGCCTGTCACCAAGGTTGCCACAAGTTGGCCATGTCGCAGCCGAAGGTGAAATGGTGGGCCTCGGGCTCGAGTCCAAAGCCCCAATCGGACACTTACTGCGCCGGCTTCGCTGCTTGCTACGTCAGACGTGGTGTAGCTTGCAAGGTCGCTTCCAGCGTTACTGCCGCCCGCGAAGAGCACGCCGTCTGGCAGGCTTGGCGTTCCCATGCTAGACTCCAGTGCTTCCAGAATGTCTGTATCACCAACAGATAGGGCCACGTGAAAGGCCGAATGACCGGTACTGGATCGCTGTGTCGCATCGGCTCGCTTTGACAGCAAGAAATTCACCGCTGCCAGGCTACCAGACTCGATTGCCACCTTGCAGGGCATGCACCGAGTCTGAAAATCTGAGAGCTGAAACTGAGATGACCGAGCCTGGAGCAGGGGCTTCTCGAGTCCAGGAGGAGTGCCGCTCCAGTCAACGCTTCCATCCGCAGCTGCCGCTTCTGCAGCCTCCAGCTGCCGCAAGAGCCCCTTTGCCCCCACGAGCAGCTGGACCTCAAAGCGATGACGCTCCAAAAGAGAACTGCGAGCTTGGGCAGTGCTTTCACAAATCGGGTACTATGTGGCCTTCTTGGCAGTACTTGTCCGGGTCTCCTCAGCCGACTTGAGCGCCTGCTGCACCTCGGACCATAGGAAAGCACCGGATCGCCGCACGCATGCAACATGTAATTAGGCGTCTGCGCATGCATGCCTGCATGCATGGGAAAAAACTGTGTCTGTGTGTCCATAGTACGAACTTCCGCCCATTGTTCACCATCGCCTGTGCTCCGCCCGGTGCCAAAGCGCAAGATGCAACTCGATGCATCCAAGCTACAAATCTCTGCAAGTCAGACGAACAGCTCGAGACATCTTCAGCATGCAGGTGCTGAGCCTCATTGGAGGTGGCTGAGACTCTGCCGAAGATAGACTTGTTCTCACTCACATCCTGAACGGTCAAACTGAGCCGAGATGCAGCCAGCAGCAAGCACTGAAGCAGGGACTCGATGCTGGTGTTGAGAACATCCTAGGCAGACACCAAATGGTCAACTACCGGCAAGTCAGCTTCCGCCCAGTTGCCTCACCAGATGCCGTTGGGTCTGGGCTGCTCGACTGCAGCAGCGGCTGGTATTCTGCCTGCCTCAGCCCCAGGCTTCATCATGGCGAAGTGTCTGTGCTGTCTGTGCTTTGCCACTGCGCGAAGCCAGGCGTAGACCAAGGTGCGCAAGACTGGCTTGCTCAGCTTTTGCAGCATCAAGACGGTTCAGCATTTGGCAGAAATAAGGTACCAGATAGCCAGCCGACACCTCCGACACACCACATCACACCGTGCAGTATGACGAGTGGACATTTCGTGCCCGGCCTGAAAGCATGTCCTCACCACTGGGTCTGCCGACAACGCATCGAACAGGCGGGGGACTGCACCTAGCAGCAAAGTCCGAGACCGAAACTCCCAAGTGCCCACTCGCATCGTCGCTATCTGCAACAGGCTGAGGCGCAAAGGATCTCCAAGGAACCATGCTCCACCGCTCCAGAGACAACCAACCTGAGACGGAGATCACCTGGGGCCAGCAACACGACTCTTCGCATGAACGGTTCAACCAGGAATTCAAGAATGCAGTGTAGAACTGAATACTAATGTGTTCGGGGCTCACGCTGCGGCTGCCCGCCTCTCGACTTAATTTAGAACCGTGCTCGGTTCAATCTCGAGAAGCGGAGCTTGGGAAGCTGTGTTTCCAACCTTTGTGCCTCAACACTTACCAGAGTCAGCTGCTCTGGCCGCACTGCGAGCAACTTGAGCTCAGCAGCCTTCATGATACAAGCTCTCCCCATGAAATAATGGCTAGTGGCTGCTACTGCGCTGCAAATTCTCAGGGCGATAAAGGCCGGCCAATGCCAAGACGAGCTCCTTCAGAACATGTTTGGCACGGCAAAAGTACCCGAAAAGACACGAACCACGTCTGCAAGTGTCCTTCTGTAGCTGCGGCTCCATATACTGCTCCAGGGACACCGCTGCTAGTGCGCGAGCCTCAATGCAACTAGCACATCAATAGTGCCTCGTGAACGGACGTGACTGACTGCAGGGAAGCGTCCAACTGCGAAGTCTGCAGGCGACGTAGGGCAGCCGTGTCGTTTTGTCGCAACAAGGTGCTGCAAGCCTGAGTGACTTACACTGGTCACTGGAGTCTCTGTAACATCCATGGCTTCCACGTGCCAGCTTTCACGTGTCTTTGAGCCCTGTCACAGACAGGAACAGCTGGCAGATCTCTCGAGGAAGCTCCACCTCACAGGCCGTGGCTACCGACTTCTTCAAACAGGCGGGTAAAGCGCGCAAAGTGTCTCTGTTGTAAATTTGTCTTGACTCGTTCAAACTGCAAGAGCTCGAAGGGGCCTGCAAGCCCACTCGAGTGATAGAGCACTCCGCCAGGATCAGGCTAGCAATGGCGTCCAGGGCTTTAGTCTCCATGAAGATTCGTGCCATGAGCGTCGGATGATCAAGCAGAGCCTGAAGGGCAAAGGTCACGAGACCGTGTCGTAGCTTCTGGTCGGCCTCCAGCGGTGTGTTGCCCAGGACATGGAGGGCCTTGTACATGAAGGCTGGGGGCGGCGGTGACAAGCTTTGCAGGATTGGCGGCTCATTCACCAACTCCATAAACGCGTCCAGGTTGGTGCGGTTAATGTTGTGAGCGACGTCCATAACGTGCCAAGCAGGCAGCAGCATCACGGCCGTTGCCTCCTTCAAGGAGATCGGAGGGAACCCCCCAGCGAAACTCAGACAAGGCCCCTTAGAATGCTACTACGTGCTACGTGCTACTAGTGTCCTGTTGACAGCAAGGCCCTACCATTGCCATAGGCTTGTTTCAGGAGCACCCCAGCAGGACTCCTGGTAATCTTTTCCTTTAAGCGTGGCCGCTCTCAACTTGCACTGCGCAGCACTAAATGGTTTGCGAGCCCACTCTGCAGTGGTGTAGACGTTCTGATTAATCAAGCCAGCAGATGCACAGCACCGCACTGCAGGTAGCAAGGCCATCATCCCAACACCGCTCGCAGCAAACGCAAGAACTGCAGGGATGCAGTGCTGATAAATCAGATGCACATCGACGTCAGCCACGAACCATACCAGCAAGATCATGATCGTGGTCTCGATTAGGCGAAGGCTATAGTATACCATGTGCGGCATCGTCACTGCATTGTGTGTCTCCAGCAGTGGGTTGATCAAGGCAAAGACACAAGGCAATGCAAAACTTGCCTGTCCACCGAAAAACCAGATCGACGCCGTCATTGCGAGGTAGCTTGCAGCGGCCGCAAAGCAACCACCGTAAGGCCGGAAGGCCAACTGAAAGAGGGAGAGGCCGGTGATCTTGTTGGTCAGCTCACACAACCGAAAACCGTTGACCAATAAAAGCCGTGGGCTGATTGGGGAGGTCTCATTTCCCGGAGCCTGGTCGATACCACTGGGTGAGTCGAAAAGTGTGAAGGCATTGGATATGGAGGCAAGGCTCCCCAGAATTGACAGGTACAACGTGAGTTGTTGGTAGTGTGACAAAGTCCTTGCACCGAAGACGACGGCATACGTCTGGACAAGCGAGGAGACAACGGCTTCGATGGCAGCCTCCGCAAACTTAGAATCGATGAGCAGCTGGTGCTTCTTGCCTCGTTTCCAACTTATCCAACAGAGATAAATGACGTGCAGCTGGAACACATATGAGATCCCCAACATGAAGACCTCGTTCCTCGAAAGATCGGACAACAGCATATCGCCATGGGTAAAAACGTGATAAGCTGTGTAGGCTGAGGCAGCCAACATAGCCATCACCTGGGCTACACAACAGGCTGTGGACATTGACACTACATTGCTGCTTCGAACTGCTGTTTGGCATCATGCCGGGTGTGTCGGAAAAATGCATTACTTCCCAAGCAGCAGATTGAAAGCCGGCTCAGCAACTTAGGCCGATGCATTTGTCATGAAGAACTTCGGATTGCCAGTCTCCCAGAATGTTATGCAAGCCTGGATATCAAGTGTCAGGTCGACATAGTAAAGGATACCAACCATGACCACCAACTCGAAAGCCAGCTTCACATCGCTGGATAGTCGGGAGTGTGCGATGGTTGTGAGCTGACCAGCTGCCCGAGATCCCAAAAGCCACTTCAGCCTTTGCTGCATTCTGAAGTCGAACTTGTTGCGAACTTTATTGACCTCTTGCACCTCTTGGAGCGACTGCATCAGTTCTTCTGTGTCTGCAGGAACCTGCATATATTCTGGAGTCTCTCTGCTGTTCAGCCATATTGTGAGTGACACCCCAACAACGCTGATCAGCAGTGTCAGCACGCCACCAGCAACCAATACCACCCACAGTGGTGGCCAGGAGTTGTTCTCCCCGTCACCCGAATCGGTGAGTGTAGCGTTTTGAAATATGTCGCCGCTTGAGCGCAGTGTGCGCAATGACTGGGAAGCACCCTGAGCAAACAGCGCAGGGAACACCCGCAGGATTGTGCTCCAGAAATGCCTCGTCATGCTGGCTCGGGGCATGACCGTCATCAGATGGAAGGAATGCGAGTGTGAAAACCTCAACACTACGCAATAAGTTAGAACTATAATCAGTTGTTGAATTGATCGTGCATGCAGTCTGCACTCCAAGCATTGAACAGTCAGTGCCGCTGCAGCAACATTGCAGCCACTTCATGACTGTACCTTAGTGTTCTGCTGGAGCCATCGTTCGAAGTCGGGTCACAGATACGACTCGCATGGACCGCATGCAGGCTTCGAAGAAGCTTCGCAAGTATCTGGCGGTCGTGGTGCAGTCAACTGGACTGAGCGGTTTAGTGTGCGCACAGAGAACATGAAGAAGCCATTCCATCAGTCGCATTCCTGGCTTTAGGCACATACTTGAACTAGTTTTCTGACAGCCTGCGTCCTTGACCGGAGAAGTCGGGCCTCTATGCTTCTTGCCGCTCCCCCCAGAAAGCTAACCCACAATTAAGCGGTTCGCTGACCTGCCTGATGTCTGAATTTGCTCGTTCAACAGCGTGAAAACGAAGGGACGCTAGTACCATCGCATCCACAGTGACGATTCCGGCCAACACGTGTTCCTGTCACAAGCTCTATGCTGGCTCCTCTGTTGCTGCCTGCTTGATCGAGCTAGTCGAACTGACGTCTGCGGCACGCACATCTGTATGCGAAGAGGCAGTGAAGGCGTATTTCCACACCGCTGGGAGGTTTATTGAACATCTCATATCGGAAACATTGCCTGACGCACCTCCTAGAATGAAGTGGAAGAAGGCCTGATCCTACCCGATCCCCTGTGTGCACATCCGCAGTCATCCGGTACCATGCGCATGTTGCTGGAAGTATCCAAGGATTTCCCAAAGAGCACGTTCCCAGGCAAGCACGTCCGTGAGTCCTTGAGCAACACAGATGTAGTTTGCCATTGACTGCATCGTCATCCACGACACAATGCTTTTTTCGTCCGCATCGGCGCAGAGAGACACAGTCACACCCGAGTGTTCAACAAGCTGATCTGCTTGCACTGCTTGTCCTGTTTTGCACGTCAGGCTGTCACGGCTGCCAATCGCCAACACTGCACCCCCGCGTCCAGCTCTGCCTGCTGAGACTTGCTAGCTATCTATCCATCTTCAGCATGGGTGGGTTATGGTGGGTTGCTCCGAGGGGGCTTGTCGGCTCAAAGCCCTAGCAGCTAGCCCTAGCATTCCAGCTACTACCGAAAACAGCCAAAGCACACACAGACACATAGCAGGACTGTATTCTGGAAGCCTGTGGTTCTTGATTTGGCCGTCCAGGCCTGGTTTTGCATGGGACCGCATGGTTTTGGTCGACCCACACAGAGTCACGCACACGCTGCCTGCTTTCTTTCACTGGATGTATCAATCGCTTGCGGGAGAACGCGGTGGCTTCGGTACATTTTGGGGATGCGTCTGAAAGGTGTAGTGGTTCCTCGAGATTTGCTGTCATGTGTGCTGCAGTAATTAGTTCATGGCCGTTTTTTGCAGTTGTTCGCAAAGTTGTTGGTCAGAGTGTGTGGCTTTAGGGAGCTTAACGATAGTTTGATTGATGCTTCAACACGGCATCTGCTGCGCAGCTTGGTGACAGAGTACGACCCTGCTGTGTTTGCTGGATGCCTTGGTTGATGTTACTTGTACCAAGCCGTCGACTCAGATCGACACCTTGCGGCAACCTTTCGGCCTGTTATAGGATGGAGGATTGGGACATATTGAGCTGTTGGGGGTGCGCTTGACGAGCTGGCCCAGCTTAGCGGTGCTCAGTTGCAGTGCAGGCCAAGGTGGATGCAGGGTATTTCGGGTTTCAACAGACATTCGAGCTACGAGTACAGGTAGTTTGGACCTTTTGAAACATCTCGTTGCAGATCCTCCATCCCCCCAGGGTTTAGTGGCAGCTGAAGCGCTGCGTTTGGTCTCAGCCACGACGGGAGCGGGGGAGTCTCAGCCTTCGTTGGAGCTTCCACTTGGGGCCATGGCCCTGTAGCAACACTCATGATTACCTCGCAGTCATCTTCAACGATCCGAACATCGCTTTCTGCGCATCCCTGACCATCGAAACGGCTTGAGTTTGTGGGGTATGCTATAGCAACCTGACCTAAGTACAAGACAATTCATGCTGCTCTGGAGGTCGAGTGCAGTCTCGTAGAACCGTTCCATGCCTTGCAGAAGGAATGGAACCGTTCGCGCAGCTGCAGCACCAAGTGCTCCCGTAGATGTCGGCTCCACTCCGCTGAGACTTCACCAAAAAACCACCTGGGCAGGATCGAACACCATGTCTATGGGACAGAGAGTTGTTCTGGCGTCGCAGTGAGATCTTGTGTATGCTGGGAGTCTCATGCCACCACCATGATGATAATCCAAGTGATTTGAATCCCAAGGCAAGGCACCACCGCCAATCGTCCCTGTGCATGGTTGGACAAAACCGATCATGAATGTGATTTTCCTAGCAGTCCTCACCAACTAGGCATTGAAGCTTCACCATTGCTCCGTGCAACTCTCACCATGCCCCACAAGGTGCCGCAGTGCCGCAAGCAGATACGATTTTACATGGAAGTCTTGAGTTGTACACTGTGGTGTGACATCTCCTACACAAACAAACATCAACTTTGGCCAGAGAAGCACTGGGCTTGCTCTACCAGTACTACACCTCGTGCAATGTCGTGTTGTACACAACATCCCGAGGTGCGAGCATTTTGTCGACTCATTCTGCAACGAGCTTCCGCAGGAGGGCTACCTGGCTTTTGACTGAGACCAACTCGCGCAAATTCTCACCCACCCGCCTCCGGCTCGATGGTCATCCAATCCACTCGCCGTCGGGCAAAAGTATTCCGGGCCTCTACATCGGGAGGGCAAAAGTCTTGACCTACTGGACCTTTCTTGTCTTCAGACTTCTTGCGGAGTAGCGGAGAGCCTGTTATACCTCGTCTTGCAATTAATTATACTGCGTTGATGTTCCGGAGGAGTGCCCCGTGGGTCCTGTTTATTAGGATTCTACAGGGGAATGGGGGCCTCTGTTTGACGAACCGACGAATCGGTCGAACTTTCGTCCTACCGTATGCAAGTCTAAGGGGGCGGCGGCTTATTCGGATACATGTGGCGAGTTTACCGCAGCTCGGCTCTGGCCTCAACACACTTTTGCTTCGCAGCGTCCAAGGCCTGCAGATCGTCGCAGGGCCGGTGAACGTAAGCAATTACAGTTGAGCTGTTTGGCCTTCATCTTCTCGTTTACCTCTTCCTTCGCTTTTCGCAATTCCGCCATGGCCATGTCGCTCTTGTCGGTCAGATCCTGGGCAGCACTAGCAGTATCTCTCAGCAAACAAGATGCATGAATGAATGAATGAATGAAAGAATGAACGCCGCTCTGCGAATGAATACACTGTATGCGCATATACGTATAAACACACATATACGTGAGTGTGTCTGTGTGTGTGTGGGTTCGTGTGCACGTGTGTGCATGCCTGTGTAAATAAGTATGCGTTAATATTTCAGATACACATATACATACCGATACACACATACCCACCAACCCACCAACCCACCAACCCACCAACCCACCAACCAACCAACCCACCAACCAACCAACCAACCAACCAACCAACCAACCAACCAGCGTGCATGCATGCATAACAATGAATTTTTGCATATTGCATTCTAACGTGTCATATGCCATACTATACCATACTATACTGTACTACTGTACTGTCCTATGCTGTACTATACTATACTATACTATACTATACTACACAATACTATACCATACTATATACTGTGCTCTACATGTTATGCCAGACTATACTATTCGCCTCGGCCCCGGCCCAAGCGG